TAGTAATTTATTTTTAAATAGTTGCGTGAATAAGAGTAACGTTTACGATAGTTTTAACCACTCAGGCCCAGAGCGAATAAATTGGGCTCTTATTAAATGTCTTTGATCCCAGAGTGTGTTTGTGCTGTGACTCCAGTTAAGACGCTCTATTTGCGTGCAAACAGCTGTGCTCATTTTAGAAACATTTTAAGTGTTGCAGCACAAAGAGTTATTGTTGCTCAGGAGTTACTGGGGGCAATAAAATACCACTTACCTGGTAACTTGGTTAAAATAAGTAGTTTCTCTTGAATGCAATGCAATCCATTTAATTCACATATTCCAATACGTTTTGGCTTTTCAGCACAGGCAGACGCTGTCAGAGAGTGAGCAGGTGCTGATGCTGTGAACATCAGAGTTCTCTGCTCTGAATCTGAGGCAGCGGGGCAGAAACCCTGCAAACAACAGACTGCTGGTATTAACTAAACACACAGCTAAATAGTGAAAAATGTGTGTAAAAATAGAACAAGCACAGAGCAACATGACATGATTAATTTAGTGTACTTAGCTAACCAGTATCATTTCAGCTCCAGAGGGGATAATCACACTTTACAGCCAGTGCTGCTGCATTTCTCTTCATCAGTGTCTGACTCCGCTGATGAAGATGTGAGTCATTCAGATGTTTGTAAAATTAGCTCTTTTATCGTTTACCCTGCTCTTGTGTTTCTGGTTGCCACGGTGACACAACAAACCGCAGCAGAAAGTTGAAAAAGTCCCTCTGTTTGAAAACTCAACGAGTCCAGGCTGCTGTCTGTCCTTCCCTGTGCACTTCATCTCATGATTCCTGTGTTTTCAGGGCGAACCACCTCCACTATCAGACGCACGAGTACGAACAGGACCCTGAAGTGGACGGCTACGAAGACGGAGACTATGACTACCACAGTGACAGCAGGTGGGCTGGTGTGTTTTGGCCAGATGTCAGCCCTCCTGTCATGAATTTATTCATCTCAGCAGAAGGTCTCAGGGTGTTTCTTTGAAAATAATTTAAACAAAAATGTCTCCAAAAGACCAAAAAAGTTCATGAAAAGTTGCAGCGACTTGTAAAAGTATTCATACTCACTCAAATCTTTTGCTGTAGTTCCAGCTGTAAGTCATTTTGAGGTTTGATCTTAAAATCTTTGCACCTGTAGAGGCTGAAATTTTTGCTCAGTCATCTTCATTAAACATCTGAAGATCAGTCAAACTGGATGGAGAGTGTCCGTAAACTGCAGTTTTCAAGACTTGATCTGGACTTTGACTGGGACATTCAAACACATGAATATGCTTTGATCTGAACCATCCCATCATAGTTCTGACTGGGTGTTTTGGGTCATTGCCTTTCTGGAAGGTGAACCTTCACCTCAGTCTCAAGTCTTTTACAGCCTCTGACAGGTTTTGTTCCAGGACTGTTCTGTATCTAGCTCCATCCTTCTTCCCATCCACTCTGACCAGCTTCCCTGTCCTAGCTGAAGAAAAGCTTCCTCACAGAACGATGCTGCCACCGTCATGTTCCAGTGCGGAAAGTCTTCATGTTATCCGATCTGAGCAGAGCAGCTTCTTCCACGTTTGCTGTTTCTCCTACATGAACTGTAGCAAACTGGATTTCTTATTTCTTCTTGCCACTATTACATAAAAGCCAGATTTATGGACAACTAATAAGTGTCCTGTCAGTTTCTTCACCTGAGCTGTGGTTCTCCGCAGCTCCTCCAAAGTACCATGGGCTATGTAGCTGCTCCATGGATTAATCTCATTACCTGTCAGGTTAAGGGAGACAGACATGTCTTGGTGGGTTTGCAGCTGTGCTGAACTCTTTCATTTTAAGATGATGAATTGAACTGTTTTGGTAAAAGCTTGGGATATAATTAACCCAACTCTGATTTAAACTTAACAACAACTACACCTTTGACTTATTTGCTGTGTCCCTTGTTCTTCATGATGCAGTTTGATTGGTCTTCACAGATCAGCTGGATTTGCAGCTGTCACTGTGCAAGAGGCGGGGGACACCCTGGACAGGTCTCCAGTCCATCACAGGGACACATGGAGACAAACAACCATTCACTCTCTCACTCTCACCTAGAGACAATTTAGTTAATCAGTCTAACATGCATGTTTTTGGTCTGTGGAAAGAAACCGGAATACCCATAGAAAACCCACACATGCATGGAGAGAACATGAAAAGTCCACCCAGGAAGGTCCCCGGCCAGGATTTGATCCGACAACCTTCTCACTGCGAAGCAGCAGTTCTACCAGCTGAGCCACCTGTGCCGCCCCTTTTCAGATTTTTATTTATTTATTGTAAAAACTTTTCAAAGCCATGATTTATTTTCCTCCCACATCACAATTATGTGTTACTTTGTGATAGTCCATGGCAGAAAATCAAAGTAAAATATAAAGTTTGTGGTTTTAAACTAACAAAATGTGCCAAAAGTTTAAGGGGTGTGAAAAGTTTTTCTCGGCCCTGTTTCCATTATGTTTTCTAGTAGACGTGCAGTCGTAGCCAATATCAGTTCAACATCATAGAGCAGAGGTCTTTCTCCTTTTCACATGCAGCTTTTCATAAACAATTCGAGTATAATGTCCTTTTAGCAATTTCCTGTTTCCTTGCTGCCACTTTTTGCATTAATTTCAGCTGAATGGATTAAGGAAATGGGAAAATATACACTTGTCCTGTTAATGGCACAGCACCAAAACAAAATAACTATAATCACAAATGGAAAAATATAATAACAATCACTTGTAAATGATTTCAGTATTCTTCACTTACTCCACCCCATCCTAATTTTATTTTTCCTGCGACCAATTCAGAGTGAAAAGGAAATCAAGCAGCTCTCAGTCCCCCTGTCCAAAGAAAAGGAAGAAGAAGAAGTCTGGCCGTCGAAGGAGTCGGTGAGTGGAAACGTTCTTTGCTGCGGTTGGATTTGTTTCCTTTCACTTCCTTTTTTCTCCCAGCCTCCTTGACAGAATAATTACTCAGTGGTTTTGTGAAAATGAGCTCTAATTATTTAGCTGTGTACGTTACAAATGAGTCATCAGATACAGCAACTGTGGAGAAAGGGTGGGGAGGGACTGGCAAAGTCTCATCTCCTGCTCCGTCTTAGACGAGGCTGGCAAAGGAGAAAGAGAGTGAGGAAGCGTTGGGCTGCTCAGATGTCATTCCAGCCTCTCTCCTTGTTTTCATCAGCAGGTTTGGCAGCTCCTCGCCCACTCGCAGGGAGAAGAAGAAAAAGAGTGGGAAGAAGCACAAGCGAGGCAGGTGAGTGAGAGAGACTGTCATCAGTCACATGTCATCAAAAGTAAGAAACTCTGACAGCTCCCGGTTTTCTGCTGCAGACACGTGACGTTCAGAGATCTGTTGGCTCGTCAGAAACATTGCATAACTAACAAACAAATAATAAACAAATAAATAAACAGAGACCGGTTTAAAAAAAAAAAAAAACTTTTTCTTTCTGATTTTTAACATCTGTTTTATCCATGGTTTGGATTGATGTGTCACATGTGGCTGTGTTTCATCCACTACTGTTTAAAAGACAAAAAAGACGGGACAGAGAACGCCAGAGAGACGGGTGGATGAAAGGATGGAGGATACAGGTCAGAAAATCAAGATGACAAACAACAGTGTGAACAAAAGAAGGATAAGCCATGAGGACAAGGAACAGAGGGAAGAACAGGAATGGAGAAAGGCAGGAATAAATGAATTGCAATTAATTGATTTAAGGAATATATGGAAGCAAAGTATTGTTTTCTGTAAAATAAATATGGGATTATGTGAGAGGGGATGAAGAAAAAAGGATTGTAGAAGGGAAGGAAAGAACCAAAGAAGGAAGGAAAAATGTAGGTAGGGATTAGAAATTAATGTTGAAGGAAATGAAGTGAAAAATAGGCATTGAACAAAGAAGTTCAATGACTGAAAGGGAAGATGAGAGGACTCAGTAAAGAAAGGAGTAAAATAATCACCAAAACTTGGAAAAAAAAATAGAAGAAAAAGAAGAAAGTTCATAGAAAAAAAAATGAAGATAAAACAGAATGATTGAAGCAAATAAATCTGTTAATGAAATACAAAAAGTTAAGGAAGTCAATGAGGGGAGAAATAAAAAATAAGTTACAGAAGTTAGCAGACTCATGAAGGAAAATGATCAAAATTATTAAGTTTTAAAAGTTAGACAAAGGAAAGGGAGGACAGAGGAGGAACGGTAAAGCTATAGGAGACAAAGACAGAAAGGAAGACCGAGCAGAATGAGGAAGAACTCAAGATAAACCTGTCCAGCGCCTTGGGACATCATAACAGTTATAGGAAATTGTAGATGTTCCTCCTCCACTCACCTTTATTCCCTGTCTGACTCGGGGGGGGGGGGGGGGGGGGAATGTGCTGCTCTAATAAGCCTGCCTCTATGGGGGCACACAGAGCACAAGAAAAATGAGCCTTTCACTAAATTGCTGAGCTGCTTTGCTCTGCTTTCCTACCTCTCATCCTTCCATGCACATCCCTGCCCCCCTCCCGTCCTCACACCAGGGATCCTCTGCATTGCAGGTACTGTTGGTGTATGAATAATGTACTGGAGGAGCAGAGGTGGGGCATCACACTGGGACCCACCCCTCAGATATTGTCTTCTGAGCCTCCATTTAAAATATACACATGGAGGAGACTCTAAAGTCCTGTGCTGTAGCTTAATGACTCCAGAACTCACTCAGGTACAGAACTGTTTCAGCAGAGTGTATGAGAACAGACAGAGTGTATGAGAACAGACAGAGTGTATGAGAACAGACAGAGTGTATGAGAACAGA